CAAGCAAGCAGTGATGGCAGCAGCAGTAGAAAGCAAGCAGTGATGGCAGCAGTAGTAGCAAGCAAGCAGTGATGGCAGCACAGTAGAAAGCAAGCAGTGATGGCAGCAGCAATAGAAAGCAAGCAGTGATGGCAGCAGTAGTAGCAGCAGCAAGCAGTGACGGCAGCAGTAGTAGCAAGCAGCAGCAGTGACGCCAGACCAGAAGCAACAGCAGTAGCAAAAGCAGCCCCCACAGAAGCAACAGCAGCAGAAGGGTGTGTTTTAAACATGACCAAACTGCATAGGGAAGGGAGAGAGGGAAAGGTTTGGATAGCGAGGGGTGATGGACCCGTGACGGGATGGAGCAAGGGAAGTGATGAGTGGGCAGCGGTTGCGAGCCCAGGAGCAAGGAAGGTAAAGGCCGAAACACATTGGGTGGTGCTTTTCAGTCTTAGTTTGACGCTGCATCCACACAGATACCCATAGCCTGGTGCTTTGCTGCCATGCCATCATGATGGCCACCAGCCAGCCATCCAGCACTCGCATGATGAAGCATGAGAAGCTGGTGATTTCTGCCATGCTCTCCAATCCTAAGTCGTTTTGAACAAGCAGCGGCAGTAGCAACGTAGCAACGCGAGAGGACGGGCCGCGGTGACGAACGAGAGGCGTGATTTTCTCAGCGCGCGCGCTTCTTGGCAGCCTCGCTTGCCGCCTGCTCCGCTGAGCCCGACAAGAACGGCACGCATGACATTTCACCTAGTTTGAACTAATGGCGGTAATTTAAACGACCGCGAAAGGCTCCCGTCGAACGAGGATTTAAACCACGCCGCTAAGCCCAGGCCGTCGTCTGGCGGTGGCTGTCGTAACCATTCGCATGCATAGGATCACGTTCATTATTAACGCAAGATTTGTACGACTACTACTTACTAATACTGGTGCTACTACCGCTGTCGACGGTGTGTGATGAGTGTGATTAGCGGAAGTCGGTGCCTTTTCAGAGAACGAGAAAGCGGGGCTTTGAATGATACTATTATCTACTACTAGCTAATACGACGAAGTGCTACTGCTACTAGCGACGGTGGTGCGATAAAGCTGATGTGGGGGAGGGGGTCGGCTCCTCAGCGGAAAGGATAAGTGTGGATGGATCTGAGGCAGCGTTTGCTCCCTCTTTTGTTTCTGAAACCCTGACTCGGTGCACACGGTTCAGAACGGTAAAACATTTTTCCAAGTGTTTTAGGCGCGCGCACTGTGTTAATCGTGAAATTTTCTGTAGACAGACACATGTACCGCGCCTGAATCTCGTAATCCCTTCTGAAGCTCGCGAATCGTGAACCGTCAGATTGCAGCAGACGACCACCCGTGCTCGCAAATCAGCAGGGGTGCGAGTGGTGGGAGGGATACAGTTCACTCTGTACACTTGGGAAGGTGAGGGTGTGTGAAAATGATGTGGCACGATCCAGGCCGTTGAAAATTTTGGTCTGTATTCAGCAGTGAAATCCGCATTGGCCTGCTGAAGTCTTGCTCCAGCATTCCACGAATGGGGGAGTGTGGTGGGGACCTTTGGATACCATTCTTTTTGCTCAAACATTTTCCCTAAACCGCTGTGTAACGTACCGAAACCCCTGAATATCGATTTTCGTGTCGGTGCGTTGCATGCCAGCAAATAGTGACGTTTGATCAACCCACCTGGTGCTCGCCCAGCCTTTGGTTTCTGGGCGGAACCAGCCTTTGGTTTGTACTGTAGACGGCTTGGATGTAAATATATGCCGTCACAGCACCGTCTGGTGTTTTGCATCCCAGGGTTTTTTTTCGCCACTCCTTGCATTTTTAAGCACGAGATTTGGCCCCTTCCCAACTCCACCCTCAAGCCTTTTCGTTCTCTGGGCGGAAGGCGAGCCTCAAGCTCAGCAGCAGGTTCAAAAACAAAAACGAATGGGCATGGGTTTTTGCGCTTGGGGTGGGTTGCCAGCGTAGGCGCTTACGACTGCTGGGCAATGCAGGTGTGCCCGAACTGTAGCGAGTGTCCGCCACCCAGCCCAACCCCTCCTACCCTGCTTGTTTCTTCACTGTACATGACGGCTAGGAACTGTTTGAGCTTGAGCTCGACTCTGCACAAACAGGTGAACACTCCGTAGGGCGCGGTACATTCTCCCGCTTGAAGCATTTGTCGCGTATCGATTCACTCCGCTAGGCTAAACATTTTTGAAACAGTTTGACCGTTCTCAACTGAGAGATAAGAACTCGGGTTTCACAAACCACGTCTGCAATGAAACACTCCCCGAACTTGACCCCAGATTCACCACAACACTTCCACCAAAGCACCCGCTCACATCACCTTCATTGCGCCACCTAGCACCACCCCTCGCCAGCTCGTCGTAGTAGCACTAGTAGCACCAGTAAACTCGTAATGTAGGGTGTATGTATTTCGCACCAGTCCCTTGGCCACTCTGCAAAGCACGATCGGTGTTTTGCTAAAACAAATTTTGTTTCGCCACTCTGCTTGCCTTTTGACTGAGATGACGCCCGAAAACTGAAGCTATTTGTTTAACCCGGTAGTGATTTCCACCCGGTAGGTCGACAAAGCAGATTCGCAAATCGTGAGTGTATTATTTCTCGCCTCATTTGTGACCTCACCCACCCAGCCGTACTCGCACTGTACTGCCGCAGTGCTCGTCGACGAGAAACGCCAAAACCTGATCGAGCCCGTCCTGTCTGTTCTGCGCAGACTGGATGGTTCGTGCGAGCTTCACAGAGGGCTGTGCTTGGTACAGTTGGGCAATGGGCAGTTCAACCCCAGGCGCAGTCCACGTGTCCCGTCGGCTGAGCCATTCCATTCAGCGCGCTTGGCTGAAACGGTCGAAAACGGTTACACAGTTTTCAACCGTGTGGAAAATATCGGTTCACAGAACAAAGGGAGCAAGCCAACGCTGCCTGCCAAGATCCGATTCCTTCGTTCACTACAGTGATCCACCCTCTCACTTCAGCCTTATACCACCACCCACCCACCCTCCATAGCCCATCATTGTTAGTACGGTAGCAGTAGTATAATTGCACTAGTCGCTAGCAGAATTAGTAGTAGTATAGCAGGTACTAGTAGTACTTGTGGCACTTCGCGTCGACTCAGTCGCTACTATTATTGGTTCATTCGCGTAACTTAAACGCCAGCGTTTCCTATCGAGTATTTTGTGTCGCGCTGTTAGGTTTGTTTCCATGAGTTGGAAATTTAGGTTTCCGAAAACAAGGCGCCCTAGTACTAGCAGTAGCAGCGAGCAGTAGTAGTCGCAGCCCTTATTTGCCCGTTTGGACTGATATACGCGCTCATGTGGCGTTTCCTCGCTGTCGCTGATCTAATATACCTAAAGTGTCGCTCGTTAGCTCGCTGTCGCTGATCTAATATATCTAAATAGCGGCGACGGCGGAGAGAGCGGGCGGGGATGGGGGGGAGGGCGGGGCTGGTGTGCGGGGAGGCGGAAGCGACGGTGTGGTTGCCGGGGGTGGCGGAGCGGCGGGAGCGGGTGACGGAGGCGGAGGGGGGAGCGGGCGCGGGGACGAGGAGCTGCTGTGCCCCAACTGCCGCGCGCCCCTCTCGCTCCTCTCTTTCCCCGCGCTTGCCTTCCCCCATTCCCCCTCCTCCCCGTCCGCGTCCGCGCTATCTCCGCCCATGTCCGCGGCGGAGGCGCGCACGAGCGGGCGCGCGGTGCTGTTCTGCCGCCAATGCCAGCGATTCACCGACAGGCCGGTGGCGAGAGGGACAGGGGAGGCGGAGAATGGGCGGAAGGGGAAAGAAGAGGGCAGCCGCAGGTGACGGCGGAAGGGCAGTGCGCAAGCGGGGGGAAGGGGGAAGGATTGGGGAAGGGCAAGGCCGGGGGGGGGGGCGCGAGAGTGGGGGAGTTTGTGGAGGCGGACTGGTATGAAGCGGACTGGAAACATGTCTCCCCCCTTTCCGCCGTCACTCCCCCCGAGCCCCCCGCCTCTGACGCGTGGCAGTGGTCCCGCTTTGGGCGGCAACTTAGCCGCCAAGACGGCCGCCCGGGCGGCAGGTCTGCGCGCAGCGAGCTGGACGGGATGATGGGCGGGGCGAGCGGGGGGGAAGGGGGGAGCGCGCGGAGGGATGCGCGGGAGGAGTATGTGAATCGGTTCAAGGCGAGTTTGCAGGGGTGGGGGGGGCACCCGTGGGCGCAGGGACAGGGGCAGCAGGGGCAGGGACAGGCAGGCGCGGGGGGAGAAAAGAAAGCGCAAAGGCAGGGGCAGGGGCGGAGTGAGGGGCAGCAGGTGGGCAGCAGCGGAAGGAATAGAAGCCCTGGCGGTGGCGGAAGCAGCGCCAGCGCGTATCCCCCTAGCTTCTCCTCCCCCCTCCTGCACGCCCCCAGAGGCCCCCCCGCCCCGCCTCCGCCCCCGTCCCCCCTGGCCGCGCCCACGCAGATCCCCCCCGCGCCTGGCGCGGGTGCGGGGGAGAAGCGGGGGGAGGGGGCAGCAGAGCGGGGGAGGGGAGGGGAGGGAGGGGCGGGAAGGGCGGGAAGGGCGAGAGGGGAGGGAGGGGCATGTGCCGTGTTTTGGGGCGGCAGGGGGAGGGGAGGACGGGACAGAGCACAACTGGGGAGGGGCGAATCTGGGGAGAATCTGCCCACGCCCAAGCAGATCCGGGCAGCTCTGGATGAATTTGTGATCGGGCAGGATAATGCGAAAAAGGTGAGCGGGTGCTGGTGACGTGGCAGTTACTGTTAGGCTGGTGGTGTAACAGGTTTACAGTCACAGACTCGCTAAGAGCAGTATTTTTTCTTCTTCTTTTGATTTTATTTGTAACCGAATGTTTGCAGTGGCGGTGGTGTACCCACTACGAGCGCATCTTCTCTATAAGCTCATTTCGTTACGAGCCCTTTCCGATCCCCGTATGCTACCCTTTGCTGCAGGTTTTGGCAGTGGCAGTTTACAATCACTACAAGCGCATCTTTCTTGAAAACCAGAAGCGGGAAAGACTTGCCAACCTGCCAGAGGGGTGAGAAGGGGTAAAAAAAAGGCGAGAGGAGGTTCAGAGGGGTGAGAGGGGGAGGAGAGGAAGTGGGAGAGGGGCTGTGTGCTGTGTGTGGTGAGGGATGGAGAGGGAGAGGAAATGTTCTTTAAAGTGATTCAAGCAAGGATTAAGAGGGAGAGGGAGAGGGAGTGACCGGTCATCTACCTGAACGATCCCCTTTTCTACACCTCACATGGGGGAAAGAGATTAGGCTTGCTCCACATTTTGCCCACTGTCCGCCCTCCCTCACTCACTCACTTCTGTTCTTGCTCACCCCCATGGTGGATAAGAGCAACGTGCCCCTCACTCCCTACCCTCTCCCTATGCCCCCGTCGCCCTCTCTTCCACCTCTCTTCCCCCCTGCAGGGCGTGCGAGAACCTGGTGGGGGGCGGTGAGGAGGACGAGGTGGAGGTGGAGAAGAGCAACGTGCTGCTGATGGGTCCCACGGGTTCAGGTGGGTGCAAGAATCACCACTGCAGCATACGGGGGGCAGGGCCGCATGGGAGCAGCGGAATAGCATAGGGTAGGGCAAGCATGGGACGAGGTGCAGGTGGGGAAGAGCAACGTGGTGCTCATGGGAGGGACCCACAGGCTCTGGTGGGTGGGTGGTTGGATGCAGCCCATCGGAAGCAGTAGGTGTTTGGACGGGTTCAGGCGTCGTGTCGTCTCAAAACTCGATGGGCCCGACTGACTGACACATGGGTCCCTCGCACGGGCCCCGATCATGTCGCTCGCATACAGCTGTTCAGGTACTATCGCCTGTCAAGCAAGGGCTGCCCAGAGGGTTTATTGGAGGGAAGATTTTAACAGGCTCATGAATGCGTGTATGCGTTCTTGCCTTCCTGTCGCCCAGCGGTCTCATGAGCAACGTGCTTCTCATCTCGCTCACGCGTGTGTCTCTCTCCACTCAACTTATCCCACTCCCCACCTGTCAACTCACCTTATCGGCTCCACTCCATCCGCCCACTCCCTACCCGCTCCGCGCCTGTCCGGCCTGTGATGGCAATGTGGTCAACATCCCAGGCCACTCCCTACCTTATTCTTTGCGGGCGGTATTTCAACCGCTGCTGTCCCTTGGGTGCAGTGCATGCAGGCAAGACCCTACTGGCCAAGACTCTGGCGCGGTTTGTCAACGTGCCATTCGCCATTGCTGATTTTTGAGTCGACTCAAAAAAGTCCCCTCCCCCCACACACTGGTGGGTGACTATCCCCTCCCCCCCCCCCAACGCGTGCAGGCAAGACCCTACTGGCCAAGACTCTGGCTCGGTTTGTCAACGTGCCATTCGCCATTGCTGATTTTTGAGTCGACTCAAAAAAGTCCCCTCCCCCCACACACTGGTGGGTGACTATCCCCTCCCCCCCCCCCAACGCGTGCAGGCAAGACCCTACTGGCCAAGACTCTGGCTCGGTTTGTCAACGTGCCATTCGCCATTGCTGATGCCACCACTCTCACTCAGGTGCGCCTTTAACGAGGTGACTCTTAATTGACTCAAAGGCCACTCTCACCCAGCTGCGTCTCATACCGCCACTCTCATCAACTTCCACACCCAGCTGCGTCTCATACCGCCACTCTCATCAACTTCCACACCCAGCTGCGTCTCATACCGCCACTCTCATCAACTTCCACACCCAGCTGCGTCTCATACCGCCACTCTCATCAACTTCCACACCCAGCTGCGTCTCATACCGCCACTCTCATCAACTTCCACACCCAGCTGCGTCTCATACCGCCACTCTCATCAACTTCCACACCCAGCTGCGTCTCATACCGCCACTCTCATCAACTTCCACACCCAGCTGCGTCTCATACCGCCACTCTCATCAACTTCCACACCCAGCTGCGTCTCATACCGCCACTCTCATCAACTTCCACACCCAGCTGCGTCTCATACCGCCACTCTCATCAACTTCCACACCCAGCTGCGTCTCATACCGCCACTCTCATCAACTTCCACACCCAGCTGCGTCTCATACCGCCACTCTCATCAACTTCCACACTCAGCTGCGTCTCTCTGATTCTCAGGTTGGATACAGCCTGGTTTCCACACTCTTTCACACGGGAGAGTTCACCAGTATGGTTAACCAGTAGGGTTAACTCTCCCGTGTCATGGTATGCCACTTAGGGAGTGCGTGACAAGGGGCATATTATTACTATCACCGTTGCTCTTGAGCCAATTCCCACACGATGACTCGTGATTCGCCTCAAAGGTCACTTCGTTACAGTGGCATGCAGGACAACGGGCTTTCTACTAGAACTGTGTTTCCTGAGCCAACGCTCACCTATTTCTCATTCTCTGGTGCTGTTTGTCGTGCAGGCTGGTTATGTGGGAGAGGACGTGGAGATGATTCTCTATAAGCTGCTGCAGGTGAGGGACAGAAGGGGTTGTTGGGGTTGGGACAGGGAGTGGGGGGTGGGGGGGTTATGTTATGTTAGTGTTTCTGCTCCTCGTGCAGGCGGGGTATGTGGGAGAGGACGTGGAGATGATTCTCTATAAGCTGCTGCAGGTGAGGGGGTTTGGAAGAGGTGAGACGGGTCAGTAGAGGTGTTAGCTTGTCGTGCAGAGGACGCGGAGATGATATTTTACAAGTTGCTGCACCTACAAGTGGAGGTGAGGGTAGGGGTTGCTGCACCCGGGTCCCAACCCCGGGTGGCTTCACGTAGCTCAACTGCTCCTTACAAGTTACATTCATTTTGCTCCTGATGTGCATGCTTGCATGTTCATGACTATCTGTTCTGTGTGTGATTCCCATGGTGGTGTGTGTGTGTGCGTGACTGTCCATTTGTCTTACGCAGAGCGCCAATTTCAGTGTGTCAGCAGCGCAGCAGGGCATCGTGTATATCGACGAGATCGACAAGCTTACCAAGAAGGTGGGCTCGCTAGCAGCACTAGCGGCACTAGCTGCACGGGCACTAGGAGATGCAACCCCCCCCCACTAAAGCAGCAGCGCAGCAGGGATCGTGTATATCGACGAGATCGACAAGCTTACCAAGAAGGTAGGCTTGCTAGCAGCACTAGGGGCACTAGCGGCACTGGCGCTAAGTAGGTGCTCCCCACCCCACCAGAGCAGCAGCGCAGAAGGGCATTGTAAACATAGATGAGATTGACACGCGCACTAAAAACATGAGCTTAATCTGGACAGCCCCCGCTCTCCCCTCTGTGCGTGCCTGGACAGGCAGAGGGCATCACGAGCACACGGGACGTGTCAGGGAAAGGCGTGTTGGAGTGTCTTATCCAATAAGTGTCTTACTGATTCCTCTCTCCCCCCTCTCTCATCTCCGCGCCCTGTATGACTGCACAGGCAGAGGGCATCACGAGCACACGGGACGTGTCAGGGGAGGGCGTGCAGCAGGCGCTTTTGAGGATGCTCGAGGGCGCTGTGAGTAAAGAAGGGGGGGGGGGAGGGAGGGTATGGGAGTATGTGAGGAGGTTGGAGGAGGCGGGATGGGAGGGACGTGTCAGGGGAGGGCGTGCAGCAGGCGCTGTTGAGAATGCTCGAGGGCGCTGTGAGTGGGGGGAAGGGGTGGGCTGTAAGGGGATATGATGTGAGCTGGTTTGAAGGACGGTGGGATGAGAGACACAGGTCTATTGGCGTTTGAGATGTGGCAGGGGAGGGCGTGCGGCCGCCGTTGTTGAGGATGCTGAGGGGCGCTGTGAGGGTGGTGTGAGCATCCATGAGCCCGTTTGTCACACGTGTGTGTCCCTCTACCTACTGGTGCGGAGCGGATCTTCTCACTCCCCCTGGGCCCTGGGTGCAGGTGATTGATGTGCCAGAGAAAACAGGGAGGAAGTCCTTCAGAGATTTAGGGCGCCTTGTAAGTCTCATGTGCCGGTCTTCCCCCTGCTCCTCCCCTCTTCTCCCGGGTACAGGTGATCAATGTGCCAGAGAAAACAGGGAGGAAGAATCCAAGAGGCGAGTTCATACAGGTACGGGCTACAGGGGTGCGGGAGTGCGAGGGTTGCAGGGGTGCAGGGGTACGGGGGTAGAACAACGATACCGGGTGTTTCTGTTTTGAGACGTCTCAAAACACTTCTTCAAACACGGAGTGCGAGGGTTGCAGGGGTGCAGGGGTACGGGGGTAGAACAACGATACCGGGTGTTTCTGTGCCGAATGCCTGGAAATCACAACGAATATCACACAGAGCGGAAAGGGTTTCTGCTCAATGGCTAGATACGTTTGAGGCGCATTCCAAGTCGGAGTGTGTTTGTTAGCATGGCTAGCGACCTTCATCCCCTTGGAATTTACCTCAACAGAGGTGAGGGTCGATGAAGAGTATGTCTACCACCTCTTATTCCAACTTTTGAGGCGCGTCAGGAGTTGTCTCCGTTCATGCTTACTGCCTGCCATTCCCCTCTCGCATACCTCCCCTTTCTTTGCCCCACCCATCCCACCAGGTTGACACACAAGACATACTCTTCATCAACCCTCACCTCTGTTGCTTGCCGTGCCAGCCATTCCCAGCCCAATACCCCCTTTCCCATACTTGACTTTGCCTTTCCCCTCCCAACCCACCAGCTGGACACACAGAACATTCTCTTCATCTGCCCTCCACTGCCGCTGCCTGCTATTCCCACCCCCACGCCCCAAGCCACATGCCCGATGCCCCATCCACCCCAATGCTTCCCCTTATCCCACCCCGCCAGCTGGACACACAGAACATTCTCTTCATCTGTGGAGGGGCATTCGTGGATCTGGAAAAGACGATTGCAGAGAGGTGAGGCGGAGGCTGCTTTTGCTGACTCAAAATGCACTCACTGATACGTCTGCTATCGTCAGGTTTTTGAGATTTCTCAAAACATTTGCTGACTCAAAATGCACTCACTGATACGTCTGCTATTGTCAGGTTTTTGAGAATTCCTTCAAAATTTGCTGACTCGAAATGCACTCACTGATACGTCTGCTGTCGTCAGTTATGACCTAAAAAAAAAAAATCGAAGAAAAGACAATCGCACTGAAGGTGCGCAACCATGGTTTTGGGGCAGGGAAAATGAAGCCACCGTTTCTCGCCTTTCAGTGCGATTGTCTTCGCCGCAGCAGTGTGTGCTACAACTGTGTATGCAGGCAATGTCAGGAATGCAGTCCCATCTTAACTACTTTGCCTACTCTGATGACCCACCCACATGTTAGAAACGACTTTCAATAATTGTCTGCAGTTTGACTCTAACATTGACTGCGGTTTGAATCGGTCTGATTGTCTGCAGTCAATGTTAGGAATGTATCTCCTGCCTTTCGTTGGCCGTGCTATGCTAGCCCTCAGAGCTCCTAAGCGCGCAACTCTGCAAGCACTGCAAGAACATACAATGTTGTCTTGACTGCATGTCTTGACTCTCTCTATTACCATTCATTTGTTGCAGGAAGCGCAAGTCATCAATCGGCTTCGGGGCCCCCGTGTGACATTGCTGCAATCATTGCAAGCAGACATGAGACTGACTGCATTCCATGACTCAAATCCCAATATTACCTTGCTGCGTGCAGGAAGCACAAGTCATCCATCGGCTTCGGGGCCCCCGTGCGCGCATCGCTGCGCAACCGATCGGTGCTTGACGCCCGCACTGCCGGCTCGCTGCTGCAATCGGTGAGTGCTAACTCTATACCGTTGGTTTGTTTGTTTGTTTTTTTGGTTGATTTGTTTGTTGGTTTGATTGTTTGGTTGGGTTTTGTTTTGTTTTGTTTTGTTTTGTCATTGTTTTAGCGCGTGTGCCAGCGATCCATGCTTGCAACACTTGCTGTGTGTGCTTGTGGGCGTGCTGCTTTTGAGAGCTGCTTTTCACTGTCCTATAAGCCACCTGCTGCAGTTGATGCGTGCTCTTCCTTCAACCATCCTTTCCCCGCCACCCCGCAAACCCCCTTCCCCCCTTTTTTTGTATCAACGGCTCGCAGAGAGCACTTTTGAGGCGCCTCAAAAGTTGTCTCTCTTACCCGCAATTCCCGTATCTCCCCCCCCCCCCCCCCCCCCCCCCCCGTCTTTTTTTGCTCATCAACTGCACTCAGAGAGCACAGATCGGGTAGCCTACAGGCTCGTCCCCGAGTTTGTGGGGCGATTCCTTGTGTTATTGTTATACCCCTCCAGATCCTCCCTCCCCATCGTTCAACATCCCTCCCCACCCGTCCCCACCCCTCCCTACCCCTCTGGAACGGCAGGCAGAGAGCACGGATCTGATAGCCTATGGGCTCATCCCTGAGTTTGTGGGGCGATTCCCCGTGCTGGTGGGGCTGCATGCGCTCACAGAGGAGCAACTCGTGCAGGTAATGACTGGTGCAGGTAATGACTGGTGCAGGTAATGACTGGTGCAGGTAATGACTGGTGCAGGTAATGACTGATGCAGGTAGTGACTTGTGCAGGTAATGACTGGTGCAGGTAGTGACTGGTGCAGGTAGTGACTGGTGCAGGTAATGACTGGTGCAGGTAATGACTGGTGCAGGTAGTGACTGGTGCAGGTAATGACTGGTGCAGGTAATGACTGGTGCAGGTAATGACTGGTGCAGGTAATGACTGATGCAGGTAGTGACTTGTGCAGGTAATGACTGGTGCAGGTAGTGACTGGTGCAGGTAATGACTGGTGCAGGTAATGACTGGTGCAGGTAATGACTGGTGCAGGTAGTGACTGGTGCAGGTAATGACTGGTGCAGGTAATGACTGGTGCAGGTAATGACTGGTGCAGGTAATGACTGGTGCAGGTAATGACTGGTGCAGGTAATGACTGGTGCAGGTAATGACTGGTGCAGGTAATGACTGGTGCAGGTAATGACTGGTGCAGGTAATGACTGGTGCAGGTAGTGACTGGTGCTGGTAATGACTGGTGCAGGTAGTGACTGGTGCAGGTAATGACTGGTGCAGGTAATGACTGGTGCTGGTAATGACTGGTGCAGGTAATGACTGGTGCGGGTAATGACTGGTGCGGGTAATGACTGGTGCGGGTAATGACTGGTGTGTGTAGGCTTTGGTAACAACAGCTGGTGCTCATGGGGCTGCGTGCTTTCACAAAAGAGCAACATGTGCAGGTAGGTGTAGTGCAGGTGGCAACTGGTGCAGGTGGCAACTGATGCAGGTGGAAGCAAAGGACCTTTCTTATGCACTTCGAATTATGTCTATATACAGAGCTGAGTGGCTTTCCTTGCATGATTCGACACGTATTTTGGTCCATCTTCTTTTCCTAATCCCTGCCCAGAAAATTTACGTTCTTAAAACCGGAGGGCCAAGAAGGCCCAAATTGCCTCAACCTTCCTAACCTTGGTTGAGTTTGGCCCTCGCACCCAAAATCTTGGCCAATTGTGTTGCTCGCTCCAACCAAGCTTCCTAAGGTTGAAGTTCTTGGCCCGCGGGTTGTAACCCCTGAAACACTACCCGATTCTTATCCCTCTCCCCACCCTCCTGCTCCTTCTCCGTACTCGTTCTCTCCTCTCGGTGTGGCTCTCACTTGCAGGTTCTCTTAAAGCCCAAGAACGCCCTCAGCAAGCAATTCGCCAAGCTATTGGCCATGAACAACGTGAGTGCAGTGTGGGCTGCTGGTTGTGGGTCACGAGCATTGTGTTTTCTATTGTATAAATAAGAAATCCAGACAGTTCTCGGTTAGCAAGCAAGTGCAATTTGCAAAGCTACAGGATGCAGAATAGCACTCAGTGTTGCCTTCTTCCTTGTCCTCATGCTCTCCCAATCCTCCCCTCCCCTCTTACTGAGGCCCGTCTGCACATGACAGAGGAGGCAGTGAGGGCCATTGCGTGGAGTACAGCACCCATTCTTGCCCTTTTCCATGACCTCGTGCCATCTCCATCTCATCTCTTCCTGCCCTCCCTTCCACTCCACCCACTCAGGCCCGCTTGCACATGACGGAGGGGGCAGTGAGGGCCATAGCGCGCAGAGCAGCAGCGCGAAACACGGGGGCCAGGGGGCTGCGATCGCTGCTGGAGGGGCTGCTCACCGAGGCTATGTACGAGGTATGGCGACTGCCGAGGCTATGTACGAGGTATGGCGACTGCCGAGGCTATGACGAGGTATGGTGGCTGCCAAGGCTGTGTATGAGGTATGATGATTACCGAGGCTATGTATGAGGTATGGCGGTTACTGAGCCTCTGTATGAGGTACAATGTAATAGATACAATACTCACCAGGCCTATGTACGGGGTACGGTGTAACAGGCTAACAAAAGGTACGGCGGTTACTAAGGCTGTGTATGAGGTACGTACAGCAGTTACCGAGGCACTGCTTGAGGTATGTACGGCAGTTACCAAGGCTGTGTATGAGGTACTGTGATCGCCAGTGGACCTTGGTATTGTTGTGAAGGCAATGTTGTTGGATGAGGTATCAGTGGGGGCTCGGAGGGGAGGTGGGGTTAACCTGCTCGCTGCTTTCCTCCATCCATCCCTCCATTCCGTCCTTCCCACCCCAACTCCCCAGGTCCCCAGCAATCTGGTGGAAGCAGTGGTGCTGGACGAGGCATCGATGGGGCACGAGGGGGAGGAAGGGGAAGAGGGCAAGCCGGTGTGCAACTGTGTCCTTGATCATTGCCCTCATTCCACGCCCATCCGTCATCTCATGCCCCAACCCACCAGGTCCCCAGCAGTCTAGTGAAGGCAGTTGTGTTGGACAAGGCATCGGTGGGGCACGAGGGGGAGGAGGGGGGCGACGGGGTAACCTGCACTCTGCCATCATCCATCCATCCCTCCTATCCCTGCTCTTCCAAGCCTGATCTTCCCGTCCCTGCCATCCCTGCCATCCCCACCAGGTCCCCAGCTCTCTGGTGGAAGCAGTGGTGCTGGACGAGGCATCGGTGGGGCACGAGGGGGAGGAGGGCGAGGACGGGGTACCGGGGTGTGGGGCCCACATACTGCAAGGGGAGGGCTCGTGGGAGCGGTGGTTGCAGGATAACGAGGGGGGAGGAGAGAAGGCGGGAGGGAAGGGAGAGGAGGGCCAAGGGGGAGGAAGCAAGGGAGGCTCATCTGGGGGAGGTGGAAGTGATGAGGAATCGGATGCAGCTCCTGCTCTTGCCACAGCCACTGCAGCTTGATCTGCCTTGTCGTCTCCTGTCGAGCACCTGTCTACCACGCTTGGACTCTTCTCAGCTCCTGCACTTGCCACAGCCACTGCAGCTTGATCTGCCTTGTCGTCTCCTGTCGAGCACCTGTCTACCACGCTTGGACTCTGCTCAGCTCCTGCACTTGCCACAGCCACTGCAGCTTGATCTGCCTTGTCGTCTCCTGTCGAGCACCTGTCTACCACGCTTGGACTCTGCTCAGCTCCTGCACTTGCCACAGCCACTGCAGCTTGATCTGCCTTGTCGTCTCCTGTCGAGCACCTGTCTACCACGCTTGGACTCTGCTCAGCTCCTGCACTTGCCACAGCCACTGCAGCTTGATCTGCCTTGTCGTCTCCTGTCGAGCACCTGTCTACCACGCTTGGACTCTGCTCAGCTCCTGCACTTGCCACAGCCACTGCAGCTTGATCTGCCTTGTCGTCTCCTGTCGAGCACCTGTCTACCACGCTTGGACTCTGCTCAGCTCCTGCACTTGCCACAGCCACTGCAGCTTGATCTGCCATGCCACCGCATCTCCCATCCAGCATCTGTCTACTACCCCTTCTATTGTGGTGGACTGGGGGATGTCACTGTGCTAGAGCGTGCTGCTAGGTATCGGTGTATCCTTGCCGCTCGGAAGGTGGGATTGCAGGATGTTTTCATCATGTGTGTATATGCCTCTTCTCTTCTCTCTCGCTCGGAGTTCAAACAGTTTGTCTGCCTCCGATCGCATGTTTTCCTGCAAGTACTGTACTGCATGTATGATATACGTTCAAAAAATCATGAAATTATTTGTGGTTTTTTCGAAGAAACTGCAAGAATGTATGTAACAAATCATGGCCGATTGAAAGCTTGACAAACAAAATGTTTATGACCAAATGATGATACAGTAGCACCGCTATAGCAAGTTAACTGTAGTACATGTCTGTTTATGTTAACGGCCTCTAACTGAAACTGGAAACTTCTACAGCGTGGTAATAGGTTGGAAGTTGGTGGCGGGTGGTTCGGAAGGCAGCGTTTGCTGGTGTATCGATAGTTTCAACTCAGGTGAGTAGCGGTTCAAAGCGATGAGGCATTACAAAATATATTCAATTTTAAAATCTGTCGTCACAAGTTCTAAACCACTTCAGAACTCCAACATCACGGCCCTTAGGGCGTGTCTCTTTTTATATTTTCTGCAATTTTCCGGACGGTTCTCTTTTTTGGTACTGGACAGTCCAAATAGCGAGGAGCCGACTGTCCGAATTGCCATTTCGGAACTTTCCCCCGTCCAGATGCAATTCTGTCACTTTTTCATGGACCATGAACTCACGAAGTACTGTAGCTTCGTAATGGGCACTGTATCGTCGTTACACAGGTCGCGACATTTTCTCCGCAAAATTGTGCGCCAATCGATTCCGTTTAGGAAAAAAAAACTCGCGAGCCAATATTTAGTCAGTACTGCTGCACCGTCCGTTTGCTTTTCGAGCTGCGGAAGGTTCAAATTCTGAACCGCTGGGAGGAGGGAAAAGTGACGCGACAGTTCGTACCGTTGGCGACTTCGCAAGTACTATCACGAAATCGATTACGAACTCTGCGAAACCGGTAATTGTTTCGCAGTTCGGACCGTCCACGGCTCGAACCGTCGAGGGAAAAAAAGAGACACGCCCTTAGCTGGACGTAGTATTTCTAGTGACGTGGGGTTTCCAGAAGCCCTCATTGACCACGTCCCACATTAACTCCGCTATCATTACGAGTACAGGCCACGACAAACAGACCAGCAAATATTTAGATACTGAAGACTTCGCAAGGCAGCCAATGAGATAGTGAGATTCATTCCTCTTAATCTCACTCTTTGACCATGCATTCGTTCAGGAATCATGGGCCGACGAAAACGGATCACCGAGGCGCAGCGGGTAACCAGCCGGCGAAATTAGATCTTGCGATCCCGGCGAAATTAGATAGTGCGATCCCAGCGATCCTCCCGTGGCACGTGCTGCTCGTTCTCTTCGTCACCGTGCAGGCCTACTCGCTCCGCACGCTAGTCGTGTATCCGCCGTCCATTTTCTCCGCATCCGACGGTTACCAGCAGCACCAACAGCAGCAGCAGCAGCAGCCGCAGCAACAGCAGCATCAGGAGCGCGAATGGTCGGAGCGCGCCGAGCCCGTTTCCGCGGCGGAGCAGGCGAAACTGGGATTGGAAGGTCCTCCGAACGGGGAGGCGGGGAGGAGCGACGGTGGATCAGAGCGGAGCGATGCGATGGGGTCGCGGGGAAGGTGGGGAAGGGTGGGGAGGATGGGGAGGATGGGGAAAGGTGGGGAGGATGGGAAGGGTGGGGAGGGTGGGGAGGGAGTGGAAGGTGGGGAGGGTGGGAAATGTACGCTGCTCTCACTCCCTTCCCTTCCACCCGTTCTCCATGTGTATGGATTCTTGACTTGTCGCTATGCCATTCGCCTTCCAAGTCGTCTCAATACGCTATTTCCTGGTACATTCAAAACAATGCTCTGACATTTGGTCCTGTCTCCGCCTCCCCGTCCCCTTTCACACCCCCCTCCCCCCCCCCACCCCCCTGCCTTTCTCCGCCACTTCCCCCTGCCTCTCACGCCCCCCTGCTTTCCACCCTCACTCCCCCCTTCTCCGCATTTCCCACCAAACAAATGTCAATTGTGTCTCCACCTCCTCTCACCTTTCCACCTGCCCCCCAGACACCTCCTCTCAGACCCCGGGCAGAAAAAAAAGAAGGGAGTCACAACAGCAGAGGACGTCGAGTTCTTTCTGCGCCGCCGCTTCCCCTCCTGCAAGCTGGAATACATCGGCGGGCAGCCCGGGCAGGCGAAAGAAAAAGGCGAGGGAATCGTGTGGCCCGTATGTTCTGACCACCTGAGGCCAAGAGGAGTCGTGTACTCGTTTGGAGTGGGCCCGAACCTTCTGTTTGAAGGCGAAATGACCTTGCGGGGACAGCAGGTGAGGGGAGGAGGTGGGGTGGGGTGGAGTGGGGTGGAAGAGGGGGTGGGCGGGGAATGTGAGGACGAATGAGGTTGAACCTTCTGTTTGAAGGCGAAATGACCTTGAGAGGACAGCAGGTGAGGCAGGGGTTGTGTAAGATGGGAAGGGGTATTGTGTGGTGTGATTGGATTACCTGCGTCCAAGAGGGCCCACTCGTTTGGTGTGGGCCCGAACCTTCACATTTGAATGTGAAATGACCTTGAGAGGACAGCAGGTGAGGCAGGGGTTGTGTAAGATGGGGAGGGGTATTGTGTGGTGTGATTGGATTACCTGCGTCCAAGAGGGCCCACTCGTTTGGTGTGGGCCCGAACCTTCACATTTGAATGCGAAATGACCTTGAGAGGACAGCAGGTGAGGCAGGGGTTGTGTAAGATGGGAAGGGGTATTGTGTGGTGTGATTGGATTACCTGCGTCCAAGAGGGCCCACTCGTTTGGTGTGGGCCCGAACCTTCACATTTGAATGCGAAATGACCTTGAGAGGACAGCAGGTGAGGCAGGGGTTGTGTAAGATGGGAAGGGGTATTGTGTGGTGTGATTGGATTACCTGCGTCCAAGAGGGCCCACTCGTTTGGTGTGGGCCCGAACCTTCACATTTGAATGTGAAATGACCTTGAGAGGACAGCAGGTGAGGCAGGGGTTGTGTAAGATGGGGAGGGGTATTGTGTGGTGTGATTGGATTACCTGCGTCCAAGAGGGCCCACTCGTTTGGTGTGGGCCCGATTTGAATGCGAAATGACCTTGAGAGGACAGCAGGTGAGGCAGGGGTTGTGTAAGATGGGAAGGGGTATTGTGTGGTGTGATTGGATTACCTGCGTCCAAGAGGGCCCACTCGTTTGGTGTGGGCCTGAACCTTCACATTTGAATGCGAAATGACCTTGAGAGGACAGCAGGTGAGGCGGTTGTATGTGGAATGGGGGCCCCGGAAGGGGGGGAGGGAGGTAGGGGTCGAACGAACGAGCCCAGACTCCTGAGGAGGCATTATGTTCAGAGGCGTAACGTAATGCCTCTGAGAGGGCGGGGCAGGGGATGTGTGAGATGGGAAGGGGTGTTGTGTGTGTATTGTATAACCACCTGCGTCCAAGAGGAGTCGTGTACTTGTTTTGTCAACGACACCACCTTCTCCTCCCTGCTCCAGCCCATCAAGGGCCCTCCTGCAGGTGTATTTCTTCCGTCTAGGCGTCAACAGTGCCGCTTTCTCATTGCCACAATCCAATCGTTTCCCGTCCCCCCTCCCTCGTCCAGGTGTTTGTGTTCGACCCTTTCGTCAACGACACCGCCTTTGCCTCCATGCTGCAACCCATCAAGGGCCTCTCCCCCCGCCGCTCCCCCCAGTTCCGCCCCTTTGCCCTCGGGCCTCGAGACGGGGTCGCCCTCTTCCACCCCATTCCCACTTCCTCCTCTTCCTCCTCCTCCCCCTCATTCTCTGCATCTTCTGCTGCTGCTGACACCTCCTCCTTGTCTCAAGAGACGCGGGAAGCGGCAGTGCTCCGCCTGCGCACGTTTATGTGCATGCACTCCCACCGTTGGATCGACATCCTACGGCTGGATATTGCCGGGCTCGAGCTCGATCTGTGCGAGAATGCCGCAACAGCAGCAGCAGCAGGAGGAGGGGGAGGGGGGTTAGGAGGGGGAGATGCGTTCAGCACGAGTGTGGGAGATCTGACGCAACATGGTGCTGCAGCATTGGCCGAGAAGACCCCTGTGGGGCCCACACCAGGGAGCGTTCCTATTGGCCAGGTGGCGGTGAGGTTCCACGCTGAGCTGGCGGGGAGGGACGGGGCGAAGAGGCGGCAGAAGTGCGAGGAGACGTTTGCGGCGTGGGGGCTGAAGAAGGTGCATGTGATGGGGGATGGGAGCACCGTGCTGTTTGCTCGCACTGATGCTGCTGCTGCATTGTAATGCACAAATGCGGGTGTGTTGGAGTTGTGGATCGACTCTGTTGTAATTCATGTTGGGCTGAGATGCCCTAGGATCTTTGTAGAGTTAAAGTCTGAGTAGGATTGTAATAGCGGAAGCGTTTGAATGAAAATTCCTTGAACCACCTTGCGCTAGTATGTGAGGGCAAAGTGAGTTGATTAAAACAAGCAAATACAAGGCTTTATATAAGAGTACAAGGAATCCGAATAGATATAATTAAACTGTTTTGCTGTTGCGATTCGATACAGTGCGACTCGGGCAACTGCTCAATGTCGAGTCAGTTGTGTGTCCTTGCTGTCGCGCTGTATTTGTCAAGTCAAAGGTCGCTGACTTTTGACCTTCGCGTAACCTCCAGGCGGTTACCCTAACCTCCGAGGGTTGACTCGCGATGCTTCGATTTGGACTGCTTCGCTTGTGTCCTGAGTTTCGACACGACAGAGGCGCTTTAAGACTTATTGTTCCCAACACTCCCCTTCGCTTCTGGAGTGTCGCTAATGGTGACGTGGCCTTGTCCAGTCAGCAGCATGCAGTACTTGAACTTCTGTTTTCCGAGTTTCTTGGTCAAGTAATCGGCTGCCATCTCGGACGTGGGACAATAGGATAATTCGAGTTTCCCTTTCTCGATCTCGTCTTTCACGAAGAAGT